AATTAATGCATAAAGTCTATATAAACATGGGTCGAAAAATGCGTTTCTTCCGAAATACAGGGTGTTTAAATTTAATTTCTAAAGTAGTTTTTTTTAAATATTTCGAACAATATTTAATGCATAACAGTGAAAATTGGTATACAAAGGTTTTTTGGCACGACAAAACGAATCATAGTTTTACTGTAGCCGCTAGAGGGCGCTCTCTACTGTACCTGTAGTGTATTAAAATGACCGAAAACTTTTTCTTAGTGCCATTTTTTGCTTTTTGAATAAAAAAACTGATTCTTCACACTTTTCAACATAAAAAAGCTCTATTGTGAATTTTCGTTATAGTTAGCCGTTTTTGAGATATTTCGGTTTTTAAGGTTCGATGCATTTTTAATTATTTATGATAAAATAACGTTAAAAAGTGAGTATCTCTCATCAGATAATTTTTAGAAGTAGGCTGTGCCTGCAAATATTTTTGAAATTGAAAGCAGAATAATGTTAAACGTCAATTAGTTGACAGTTAGTTTTGTTGTCTGTTGAAACCTGAAACGTTTTTTTGCAATTGTGAATGCACGAAATTTAGTCTCTTTTACCTGTTTTTTTGTAAGTTTTATAAAAATGCCAATTTTATTGTCCAATCAAGAGTTAGCGGATATTCATTTTGCGTATGGCTTTGTAAATGGAAACGCAGCAGAAGCAGCCAGAGAATACGCACGAAGATTTCCAAACAGACGACATCCAACTCGCTCAGTATTTGTAAGAGTGCATCGCCAAATAATTGAAAATGGTTTTGTAAATCTACAAAGGGATCAAAACATAAATATTCGTCAGCGCAGATTTACCCGTATGATTCTGCGTGAGTTTGATAGAGATCCGACCACAAGTGTTAGGAGAGTTTCTGGTGCCTTGGGAATTTCAGCAAGCCATGTTCACGGTGTTCTTAGAAATGACCATAGACGTCCTTACCATTTGCAACCTGTGCAAGGACTAGAGCCAGGGGACGGAGAACGAAGAACCACATTTTGTCAGTGGATTCTTGATAGAACTGATAACAATAGGGAGTTGTTAAGTAACGTTTTATGGACCGATGAGTCATGGTTCACTAGACGTGGAGTGGTCAATTGTCATAATCAACATATTTGGTCGCATGAAAATCCGCATGCAGTTCGGGAAAGAAATTTTCAGCATGAATTTAGTGTGAACGTGTGGATTGGTATCTACCGTAATCGCCTATTTGGACCCTACCTTTTGCCTGCAAGGTTAAATGCTGCGACCTCCTTGGAATTTTTAAAGGCTGAACATGCAAATATGTGGGATGATGTTATGTTATATTTAAGAAGATTCACCTGGTTCCAGCTTGATGGTTGTCCAGCTCATTATTCGAGAATAGTCAGAAACTGGATGGACGAAAATTATCCAGAATGATGGATCGGCCGTGGACCAGTCGCCTGGCCTCCACGATCCCCTGACCTAAATCCATTAGACTTCTTTGTGTGGGGATTTCTAAAAGAAAAAGTGTACCAGACTCCCGTAACCACAAGAGATATGCTAATAGACAGAATCAGGAATGCATCTGATGAAATAAGGCCTTATTTGAATAATGCTATATACCACGTTCGATCATTCGTAGATGTGAATTGTGTATTGAACAATTGGGTTTACTTTTCGAGCAACTACTTTAGATTTTGTATGTTTGTCCTAACTATCCAATAGCATTTTAGTTGTAAACAATTAATTTAATTTGTTAAAAATAATATTGGAAAATTAAACAAATTAATATTCTGTTTTTTTGTGTTTATTGGAAGTTAGGAATTATTGCTGTGTTTAAAAACACAATCTAAATGATCATCTTAATTACTTGTAATGCCCAAATCGAAAATGTAAAAAAAATATTATTTTCCCATAAATAATTAAAAATGCATCGAACCTTAAAAATCGAAATATGTCAAAAACGGCTAACTATAACGAAAACTCACAGGAGAGCTTTTTTATGTTTAAAAGTGGGAAGAATCAGTTTTTTCATTCAAAAAGCAAAAAATTGTACTAAGAAAAATTTTTCGGTCATTTTAATACACTACAGGTACAGTAGAGAACGTCCTCTAGCGGCTACAGTAAAACTATCCCCATGGTTCATTTTGTCCTACCAAAAAACTCTTGTATACCAATGTTCACTGTTATATATAATATTGTTCGAAATATTAAAAAAAAACTATTTTAGAAAGTAAATTTAAACACCCTGTATTTCGGAAGCCACGCATTTTTCGACCCATGTTTATATAGACTTTATGCATTAATTTTAAAAGTTCTATCGAATCTTAAAGTTTTGCAACAATAAACTGAAACATCCTGTATAAAATTACATTTGAAGCTTATATAGAAAACACGAAAATTGTTGGTGGAGCTATAGTTATGCTCTCCAGAATATATACACTCAGGTTCAAAATAAAAGTAAGAAGCAAAATTTTGGTCAAATTCGGTACGTCTTAACGTTTTCACTTTCAAATATATTTGCTTGATTTTTTTGGCAGGCAGTAGGAATGGATTAAATCTGGATATCTGATTTCTTGACTGTAACCGCAGTCTGACATTTTGTACAGAGTAAATCAAAATTATGTTTCTTAGCCCCAACTTTGAGACACTGTGTGGTATGACTCCAGTTGTCAAGCAGACCGCTATACTTTCCATTATTAAGTACCACATTTTCTTTATAATCTGCTTTATCGTCCATGTCAAAAAGGGGAATGATTGAGACTTTAAAGGTAAATTATTGTTTTACTACCAATTTACCTTATTCCTCTCATAACGCGAAGAGTATCACTGTTGTGTTTGTTAGCGCAACAATTGTATGTCACAGTTCTGTATTTGAGATATGGTTATTGCCTGACACTGTATTTCAAAAGGGTAGACCGTGAAATTGTTATACAGCGTGGTCCTAAGTAAAGTCAAAAGCTTTCATTTTCTGCGCCATTATGGCTAAACTGATCAATAACGATATAAAGAAATGAGAACCTAATACAGGAAGATAATATATTTGTATGTGCTACGCCACTGGCAAAATGGGTTTCGACCATCTCCCGCAGGAGCGCGCCACCATCCAGCGCGCAGCCTACCACTGCCGACCGGAAGACCGTTGAATTTTGAACGGTCCAATGGGATGCCTTCCTCTCGGAGCGACCAGGAGAGAGGCCGGAAGAAGCTACCATTTTTGACCATAACCAGAAAATCTGTTCGGTATAGACAATTTTTCAATTACGACAGTTTCTCATGAAATGTACATACAATACATTGAACAAAAACATAAATGTAATCAATAAAATACAGTCCACTATGCACAACAATATTTCTGTCCAATTCGGTAGGAAACGTTTTGAATTCTTACGGTACTTAACAAAGTTATGAAAGGGAGAAGGAATATTGGTGGTAAAATGTTCATTTGCCTCTAAAACTTCAACAAATCTACATATTGACGTGAATAAAAAACCGAATTATAGAAAAACTTTGATTTTAGATAACGGAGAGCATTGCAGTCTGATTGGAAACTGGAGTCACCCCACAGATTCAGTCAAAGTTGGGGTAATGAATCATAATTTTCATTTACCCTGTACAAGTCAAACCGTAACTAGGGTAGTACAAAACTTTTGCAATATGACTTAACAAGCAGCATCACGTCTGTTGATTAAGTAGTTCATTCGTATTGACAGTATAAAGTGCGGACTATGGCATCGTGGTCACGTAGTGAGATAAGGACACTTTTACAGTATAACTTTACTCGTGGTTTAATCATAGAGCAGTGCTTTGAAGAAATGACACTTGCATTGTAGAATGATTGTCCTCATCGCACGACTATATTCAGGTGCTGCAGAAAATTCCAAATGGGCAATTTCACTCTGGAGGACACTGAGAGGAAAGGAAGGCCGAACGTCAGTAACAGAGGAAAACGTTACTGCTGTGAGGAAAAAGCTTGACGAAGACCGGAGAGTTTTACCAAGAGATAGAGGAGACCTTACATCTTCAGATCTCTACAAAAAACAATCTCTGTTATCGTTTTTAAAGATAACAACACACAAGCGCCTGAATAACCCCTACAAGTTTGATCTCATAGTTCTGAAACATCCTGTACATAGTAAATAAAATAGTAAGAAAATAGTAAATAGAGAAACACCTATGACAAATCCTCACTGATGACATTACGGTATCTCATTTCATCTCGTATATTTTTTTAGACGCGTGATTATAGCCTTAGGTTGGACATCTTATCGTACGTCAACCAATGCTTATGATAATCTATTTTGAGGCCTTGAAATGAAGAAAGTCACGCTTTTGCAAAAATTGCAGATGTTCAACTCATATGAAAACTACACTGCCAGGCAAAATTAACCGGTCAAACAAAATTTTGTTTAAATTGAATTTGAAATAACTTTTTAATTTTTGCATGAATTTCGTTAATTTGTCCGTCAAGTTATAGGTAATTTTATTGTCATCTTTATCGGCTGCATCTATCTTGCAAAAATTGAAAATATTTGTTGTTATACAGGTTGTAACTGAAAGGTGCATTTTGCTCTAGATTTCTAAACACCCTGTGGAAACATTTGATTACAGAATAAGGTGTCTTTGTATAACAATTTCAACTTTTCTCAACAGTTCTTTTTTTGATTCATGTCAATATCTCAATTATTAAAAAATATATGCTGTTTTGAAGAAAAGCATGTGAATCATATCCATAAACAACTTGATTTAAAAAATTACAGCGACATCATTGGTAATTAGAAATTGTTATCAAAAACGAGTATTTCCTCCACGGAAAAAATTTTGTTTGTCGGGTTAATTTTGCATGGCAGTATATTTCGCATATTGAAAATTTATGTTGATGTTTCACAAACTTTTGGCGGACACGGTAGCAGGTTGACAATGATAATTTAATTGCAGAACCAATGTTGGTAAAAGCTCGTAAATATATTTCAACAATTTAAATAGTGCTGCCAAATATGCTAATAATTACCTTCCCACAAATATCATACACATCGTTCTTCAAACTCTCTCTCCTTTTCTTCGTGAAGGTATTAACCATCTCCTCCTCATCTTCCCATTGATCATCCGTTCTTGTATTCCCTATCTCCACATTGTTTGCTCCTTTTGGTTCGTCGCCCTCTTCACCATGTTCAACCATCTTCGCACTCACTCTCACCACTTTCTTCTCACGATCCACAGTATTTGTTACTGCACTCATTATTATGTTACTTATTCAGGTGTACTGATTTTTGGTATTGTTATCAGTCATTTTCTCTATATTGTTGATGTTAGTGTATTTTTATAGTTTTTATTGTTGTTTATGCATACTCAATAGAGATCTATCCTTTTGCTTCTACAAGATATTTCCTAAAGATCAGGCAAAAATTAAGAACGATTCTTTGGACGAAATGGAACTTCGTTCTAGTAATATAACAGTGCGTGGTTCTGGTAATACATGGCACTTGGTGCTGTCTTATTTTGATGACTTCGTTCTTTGACGATTTTTGAAGAAAAGCGTTTTTAAGTTAATATAGTGCTTTTCAAAAAGCCCCCTCCCCTACTTATTTTTAGAACGGGTTAAGTTGGCAGACTGAATTACAGGGTTATGATATTGATGCATTTTAGCGTAAGAGAGGCAGTCGAAAATTTCTAGATGGCGGCTGGGTGCCGTTTTGGAACGTTTCTTTAAATGGAATGGAGGTCGTGTGATACCTCATTTTAAGTTCTTTATGAGTACTCTATAACTCTAGAATATACAACAGGTTTCACGATAAACAAGCAGACCGCCGGTAGGAAACAAGGAACTACCTGCGGGAGTATCCTTCCTACCATACATTAAAGGCATCACGGATAGAATAGGAAGGTTGCTGCAGAAACCCAACGTGAAGATCATCTACAAGCCGACAAACAAAATCCATCAGCATGAAAGAAACTCTCGACTCGGCCGAAAAGAAATATTATATGAAAACGGAGGTCTTGTGGCACATCTTTTTGAAGTTCCCGACGAGTACTTTATAACCTTATAATATAAAGTCAAAACCTTTACCTACTACAAAATGGTGGTACATTTAATAATTACTTGAACACAAACCCACTAACATGCATACCTCTACAAACAATTGTAATTAAAAACTTGTATTGTTATTTTTTGTTGACAGTGACAAGTGACAAATAATAACATAAATCCGATTTTTAACCTTTCTTCGATAGCGAACAGGTGTGGAAACATAAAACTATTTCTGTAAAACTAATGTATTATGCAATCTTGAAAATATTGAAAAAGTAGTATATAAAACTTGTTTTTTTTTTTAGATATACATTTTTAAATACTTCTGGTGGAAGTACAATTGTATTTTAAGATATCCTAATGATATAATAATAATAATAATTTATTAATATATTAAGATTTATTCACTCAATGTACAAAGATAACAAACAATATGAGTAAATAAATATAAAATCAAAACAGGCCCAATAGAAGGCATCGCCTGTACATGGACCAATAATTTAAGTTGAAACTGTAGAATGCAAATGACAAAAAAGGACAAAAATTAGCTACAATAGATTATGTATTTAGTTGATGTTCGTATTTATGAGTTTATGAATTTCAGTCCTAGATATAGAATGTAGCCACTTTTTCTTTTGAAACAATTTCCGAAACGTAAATCTTTTAAGTCTTTAGGTATAATTTCATAAAATTTAGGCGCTAAATAGAGATATGATCGCTGCATTATAGATTTATGCGGTTGAGGAACTACTGTGCCACGAATTTTGTACCTGGTATAATGATTATGTTTAATTTTTTGGTCGGTGTTTACAAATTTATGGTAGTGAGTAATACTGTGTAAGAAATAAAGCTGTCTTAGAATACTTTTTTGAAAAACATCTAAATTATAGATATGTGAGGAACATGCAGCTCCCCATGCTAATATACCATATATGAGATGAGGCTCAATCAGTGCATGGTATAATGTTTGAAGATATTTTTCTGTCAATATATTCCCAAGGTATTTAATTTTGTAGGATACAAATCTAACCTTCTTTAAAATATAATTGACATGGATGTCCCATCGTAAGTGAGGATTCAAGACCACTCCAAGGTATTTTATGTTGGGCACTCTATTAATTTGCATTTTTTGATCATTAATATTGAAGGAGAAATTTGTGTAATTTGGCAGATGTCTAGCATAAGATCCAAATGGTAAAAAATGTGTTTTAGAGTAGTTAATGCTTAATTTTCTACTGTTAAACCACTAAATAATTTTGATAAAATCATTTTCAATTACATTTTTCAGATCAGACCAGTCAGTGCCTTCATATAATATTGCAGTATCATCTGCAAAACTAGTTATTTTGCCAACACAATTAATTTGGAAAATATCATTTAAATATATATTGAATAACAGCGGACCTAAGACAGTTCCTTGTGGGACACCACACTTAATATACATTTCTTTACTAAATGATCCTGATATCTGCACAGATTGTGGGCGATTTGACAAATAACCTTCGATCAGTGAGTACGCGTTTCCTCTGAAACCAATTCGCTCGTTAATTGAATATTATGTACACTCAAACTCAATTTTATAATGTACATAAACTCAATCTATTGAACAGATTTTGTCTAAGAGTTATTAAGCCACATGAAATACTACAGACAATAGATAGCTTAAGATCGGGTGCTCGTGGAATTGATGATCTAACGCTGACAATAATAGAAATTAGTCTTGTAACATTAATGAAGTTGCCAAATTTAGAATATTGGGCTCACTAAAAGATATTTAAAAATTTGACACATACCAACAATTCCGATTAAAAAAACAGGCTTCACATAATACGTATTCCATTATTGAAATTGTTCGATTAATTTAGGGACGCAGACTGTACCACTTGAGATCGAATGGCTCGTATTGTACGTAAATATTTTTTGGGGATACTGGGTAGTCTTACAGTTTACATCGTCGATACTGATTGATCATAATAATAAGGTCCGATTGAATGCTATATACGATTAGTTTATGAAAAGCAATACATGAGTTTTAATGCAAACATTGGATTCAAGAAAATCCATTGCTACTTCTGTTTGTAGCAACAAAGCCACAGTCACCTTTTATATTCAGGACAAAAGCTCTAAATAAGAGTAATAAAACCTATGTAAACAGCGCCGGCGACCTTACTGAGGTCGAAAAAACATACAAAGAGAGTCAAAGAAAGTTGTAAAGAGAAAAAACAGGTAAGATTGGATACCAAAAACAATTCGTGAAAAGATTGGAATATAGGTACATGGAATCGAAAGAACAATCAGCTTACAGAAGATGTTTTCGCAGAAAGTTCCTATACCTTTACATTTTACAAACGAGTTCTGATGGACGGTTGACTCCAGTCTCCTTCTTACTCCTATACTGTCTTGATGAGCTTTTTCATCCTTTTCTAAGCTCAGACTCCATAACACTAAAAAATTTTATAGCCCAATATCATCTTATGTTTATAAGGACTTCTTCCTAATCTGAAAGCTTTAGACTCGTCTATACGATATTTTACGCGTAAGCCTATAACTTGCAGATATGCTTTGGTCTTGCCCCTCATACGGGAACTACAAGCCACAGACCACTTTTCTGATACCAAAAATGTATCATTCGTCATATATTCGCATTGCCAATTTTTTTTAATTAAAAAAAAACAGAATATCCTAGGTAGGCATTGAAATTACCAGATTGTCATCTGTTTCGCATACCAGATTTATCCCAAAATCACTATTGTTTCTTCCTGACTTCATTTGAGTTGAGATTTCAAAATTAATTTCATGTTGTCATTGTTTTTTTTTTCTTCCTTAGAAAATGGTGAGTTTAAATTTTCAATTAGACATTTTTTTTTCGACTTCCATCACCAAATTTGTTTTTTCATGTTGGAGTTTTGTACATTTTAATAGACTTTTTAGTCCTAAATTCAGTTATGTATTTCCTTATTTGGCCTTGAATTCGTTGTTAGATAAAAATTATAAGGAAATAAAAGGGTATGGTGCAACCTGAACACAACACGAACAGTTTATTGATGGTAATAACACTTATAATCATAAATAAGCAGAGGTAAATCATAGCAGATATTAAAAATGTCCGTTATCTTCTGGCAAAATCTGACTCTTCTCTGTACATTGTTCACTGATCGACTTATTTTTCTTCTTCTTAGTCTTCCAAACTCTGTTGCTATGATTAATTTGAGGTCTGGTCTGGTATACCAAATAATTGAAATCTGATAATTTCAAGGCCTACCTAGAACAGTTTGCTTTTTTGAAATACTAAGGTTTGGCAACGTTAATGTATGACGTGCTCTACATTTTTGGAATCAGTATTAAAAACTGTATTCACCGATATGGCGTCTATAAGAAAAAATAAAGTTGGTGCGGAAGGACAAATTGATGACGAAACGTCATATTGGAATTCTAATTGTGCCATCTTTTAGAGGAGAAAAAGAGGCAATGTTAATGCGCAATTTACTTTGATATCCCACTACAATTAAAGTCAGGAAAAACTTAAAATGGTTTTATGAAAATTTGTTTTTTGTGTCTCTCTTCGGCAGTATTTTGTTTTCCAAAACTTTCTAAGCGGCATCTTGCCCTTATTCAAGCTGTTTTGTATCTCTTACAGTTTCCGAGATCCCAATGGGGAGGGTCGAATCAGAAACACCCTGTATAGTGATGTTGAGTTATCCCGGTCTCTTTCAAGCCCAGGCGCCGCGTCACTTACACAGTTCAAAGCTCAATTCACTTCTGGTTTGCAGTTACTCTTAGCGCACCTTTTACAGACTTCTTTATACACTATTTTCCATTTAAAGCTTCCAGATCCGTATACACAGGTATAATGGCTATATTTTCGCCATCGCGTTTCACCGGTAAACCTACAACTTGCAAATAGGCTTCGAGCTCCGATTGTCAACTGATCTGCATATTCATGTGAACGCGGGTAGGGACGATAAGGCAGATATCGACATGCGGTCGCGGCTTTTCGCGAATGTGGTTTATACAGGGTGGTGATATTCGTTTTCATGAAATGTCTAAAACGTATCATGTGGTTTTTATGTCGACAATCCCCCATATTTCTTTGGTCACTCGAAACCGAATGTCTTGAAAAAATCTTATTTGTTGTGAACGTTTCGATCACAACGATGACTTTCTTCATTACAATGACTTTGACATTATATTTTATTTATCCATCTTCCAGAACGACTTGCCATTGCCTCATTTGTGTTACTCTGATTAACTAGAGCTACTCATTTTATAAATCCCCTGCCCCCTCATGACTAGCTTTATATTCGATGTTATCCGCTCCGAAATATTGGCGATAACGGAAATGACAATGTCTCAGAATTTTTGGGTTATGTTTTTGTGTCTTTGTGTGACTGTATGACTCAGAGCCACAACCTACATTTGAATAATGAAGGTCACAAGACAGTACAAGAAGGCAAGTTCATAGTGGTTTGTAGTTGGCTCCCGCTATAACTACGAGCCCCTTCCCACTTCAGTTGGCCCACTTCAAGATGTGCACCAAAATATGCCTTTATAAACTAAACATGACGAAACTGTTAACTTCTAAAACAATTTATTTTCTCAAAAACATTTTAGATACACTCTAGTCGTAAAAAATACATATTTGAAATCACTTACACCTATAACTAATAGAACATCTGAACAAATAAACAATGTGCGAATAAATGCGAGAAGTTAACAAAGGAACAATTGAAAGATTACCATTGGGTAACATCACCTTTATTTTTTATTACGGCTAAAATTCTTTGGGGCATAGTGTTAATCAAGTTTTGGCAAAAATTTGGTGTAAAACAATTCCACATTTCTTGAAGCTTTTGTCTCAGTTCGGTGATTGTACGAGCAGGATGTTGTCGTAGAACCTTTTTCATCTCGTGCTACAAAGTTTCAATAGGTGTCAGATCTGGACTGCTAGAAACCCATTTTAAAAGTAGTACATTATTTTCTTCCATACATTTTATAGCCTTTTTTGAGGTATGGCACGCTGCACCATCTTGGTGAAACACAAAATCTTGGCCGGATGTCAAACATTCTTCCATCACTGGTAAAAGTGATTCTTCTAAAATTGCCAAATATTTGTTTGTATCCACATTTCCGTCCATAAAATGAAGTGTTCCTACTTCTTTTGATGACATACTGCCCCAGACCATAATGGATGATGGAAATTTCACTTTTCTCTTCAGACAGTCAACATGGAATGCTTCATTTTTTTTGCGAATAACTCTACTGCGACTGTCACCAACACAAACTTCGAATCGGGCCTCATCACTCCATTGTATTGCACACCATTGTTGAGGTGTACATTATCTATGTTCTTTAGCCCATCTAAGCCGATTTTTCTTTTGCATTGGAGTTAATAGTGGCTTTTCTTTGGCCTATGAACAAGTTGTGCAACTTTAGGGTTTTTACTTCACTTTTTTTATAAGAAAACTTACCTTGCAAGTGCTAAATCCCAGTTTGTGGGCCTCTCTATGAGTTGTGGACCTCGAAATTCTCCTTCCAACAGCGTCACTCCACAGAGCACTTAATTGCAAATAATTGGCACACCTGTTTTTCACGATCATTCCTCTTAATGCTCTTCGGTCGGAATTTGTGATATTACCTTTTTTCACATATCGTGGCTTAATATTAACTGAACCAGTTACGTTATATCTTCTAACAATATTTCTCACACTGTACTGCGATAAGTCTAACAAAGTTGAATTTTCTCACTAATAACCTTTCCTCTACCCATTTTGAAAGCCTTAACGAACCAAAACTATTTTAAACGTATTCTGATGAGTGAAAAAACAAAATGATAGGTAAAGAATGTGACAGGGAATGTTTCATTCATTTAGATCGGCTAACATTGCTAGTTTGAATCTAGGAAACAACTGCAAACTTTCAGCTAACCTTAGGAATGTCAGTAGTATTGCTAGTTTTAAATGTCAACTACGAAAATTATTAGTTAAAAAATGTTTCTACTCCTTGTCTGAATACCTCGCACTGTGATATATTTTTAAAACTTTTTTTATATGTGAATGTCTATACGCCTTAAGTTGTTCCTGTTTGTACTTTGTAAATACTTATGTTTGTACTTTTAAGTATACTATGTACCTCCCCCTTAGGACGAGTCTTATGTCATTTTATGATCTACAAGACAATAAATGTATCTACCTATTGTCTTACATACAAAGCAATGCTATCTTGCATCTGCAACAGCTTACATGCAATAGTCCTATGGACTGTAAAACTGCTGTCAAAAATGTTGTTCAGTTACGAGACAGATTAGCGTTAAAACAGTCAGTCACTCTTTGAATGTTAAGGAAACACTGTATACTACCACTCTCTGCAAAACATGTTGAATCAGTGATCCCCACTCATCAGCATACTAACATTATCAACATTGGCGATAAACAGCATTCTATCTTTGACTGTTTACAACGTCTTCCATCAATTTGCAGAACAATCAACAAGGGTCAACCAGCCTCGACGCGTCCTTGGGTTACAGCAAATTGATGCCAGGATCACTGGGGCTTATCGGAACGCTGAAGTCTCAATCAGACGATGTTCATCTTCTTGGAAAGAGAGGAGGTGGCGTAAGACAGACAATTAGTTCCACTCTGGTTTCTCCAAATGCGTGTAGAGCTTAATGAGTTTTACCCAGAGTGGAATCTGTCAGGATGGGTCTTAGATCCGTCAGCTTACTTTCAAAGCTTTTAGAACGTGTAATCAATATATAAGTATCAAAACATATTTTTAATAATTATTAAATGATCAACAGCCAAAAAATATCCTAAATAAAATCAACAAAATATTACTATTTTTAATGTGCTAAAACCGGAATGAAACTTATTTTTTCAATATTAGTTCAAGTTTCAGAGATACGGTAATTATATGTGTTCCTGCTGTGACAGTGTTAATATACTGTAATTCACAAGAATGCACGTGCTACATTTTTATATTCGGCAAGGAAAGATGATGTAATCGGCATGATTGTGTTACGTTATACATACGTGTACATTATATTGTTTTATATTAGCTATTTTTTCCTCAGTTGGCTGACAGCGTTCATGAAAGATATCTCGAAAGTGTGTAAATAATCCAGATCAATTTTGTTACGCGTGTGGTGATGTGACTTTTGCGTCTCAGAGACGGTCTATTACTCCACTAATAACAAAGGCATATCAGCTTTATTTCGGTTGTAAACTAGGTGATCAAGACAAACAGTGGGCACCCCACATCTGCTGTAATACATGTGCTTCAAGTCTGAGGAGCTGTTTAAATGGCAAAAAACGGTCTACGCGCTTTGCTGTCCCAATGGTTTGGAGAGAGTCTACAAATCATATTAATGATTGTTACTTTTGCATGGTACCTTGTGTTGGACAAGCCACAGGTATGTCCAAGAAAAAATAATCTGTTATTATCTACCCAAACATCTGCGATGAGACCTGTGCCTCACAGTGACGAAAATCCTATTCCAAAACCCCCAGAATCCTACACTTGCGAATCAGAAAACGGATCAGATCATGGCGATCGAGTGATTCGTCAGGAAGAAGATATGCCATCAACGTCAAGAGATCCTGATTTTATACCGAGCACGTCATGCCACCAACCGCACAAAATAACACAGTCAGAATTAAATGATCTTGTAAGAGATTTAGAACTTCCAAAATGTAAGGCAGAGTTACTTGGATCAAGACTGCAGCAGTGGAACTTGTTAGAAGACGATGTTTCGGTATGTGTTTTTCGTAAATTCACATGAAAGAATCATATGACAATATGAAGTACCTATTGACATGCATAAAATACGATGAGCACCAATGGCATATTTTTACTTGGGCTGCAGCTAGGCTACACAAAGTTTTGCTGTTTTTTACTACCACTGCATATCAAGTTGGGCCTAATGAAAAACTTTGTCAACGCATTAGATAGAGATGGGTCAGCTTTTCAATACCTGCGTCAGAAATTTCCAAGACTAAGTGATGCAAAGATTAAAGAATTTATATTTGTTGGGCCACAGATTCGAAATATTTTGAAAGATACACAGTTTGAAAACACTTTAACAGGTATTGAAAAAACTGCTTGGAATGATTTTCGTCTGGTGGTCACTAATTTCTTGGGAAATAGAAAAGCTGACAACTATAAAACCCTTGTCAAAAATATGATGTCATCGTATCAAAAGATGGGGTGTAATATGTCTCTTAAGATACATTTCCTACATTCACACCTGGACTTTTTTCCTGACAATTGCGGAGCTGTAAGTGATGAGCACGGCGAACGTTTTTATCATGATATTTCAACAATGGAAAAAAGGTACCAGGGAAAGTGAAATCCTTCCATGCTTGCAGACTACTGTTGGACTCTTGGTAGAGATGCTCCAGAAACGATCCATAAAAGAACAGCAAAAAGACAGCGCATATAGTGATTCTTATAAGTATATGAATCTTGTTACTTTTTTTAATATATCCTTAAAAATAAAAAGTTTTTTTCTAAACCGCAACTAATTTTTATATTTCATTGTCATTTTTGGATTCAGCGCCCCAAAATTAACAAAGAAGTGCACTTTTCCCACAAGATACAATTAAAAAACTAAAATTTGTTGTCCAGTGTAATAGAATATGTCGTAAGGATTTACGGGAAATCATAGTAAAAAAACAGATGATGTTTAACAGGCCTTGACGAAGGAAATGTCACTTATTTGGTTCTACCAGACCATTCAAAGGCTTTCAATATGATAGATACTGAAAACTCGCTACTTAAACTGTCTTGTCTCGTTTAACTGATGGTGCAATCATTTTGATATGCAGTTATTTGTTAAACAGGAATAAAAACATCCTATTATCGTCGAAAATGTCAGAATTAACTGCTATTAATTACGGTGTTCTTCAAGGTTAGGTCCTCTACTTTTCTCTCTGTATATATCCGATTTCCTTTAATATGTTCACAACTGCACAATACATCACTATACCGATAACATTCATATTTATTTTAGATTTCAACGTATAGGGTTTAAAATAAACTATTTCTTCCTAGTGAATGATGCACGTATTCAGACTGCAATCCTATTTTTGTGCATGTTGTGCGACGGGAAATACATCCTCGAGACCAACTGGACAAGCATTACGACTAGAGCAACTGGTATTGACGACCAGTAAAAAGCTGATCAATAACATCTACGAGCCCCTTCCCACTTCAGTTGGCCCAACTATTGAAATCTTAGTTTTTTTCTTATCAAACACAAATAATAAAAATGTAGCAGGTTTAAAATATTAACAACAAATATTTTGATAATATATAGTAGAAAACATCAACTTTATCACTCCCTAATCAAATTTGCAGCATAAAAATAACACATGTTGCAATTACAGCATATCAACCTATTTTTATTTCAATGCAAAATAAGTCTATAACGCATAGGTGGCTGTGAAAAATAAATGCCATGACATTTTTTTTTATGAATCACAGCTATCAGAATGCGTTTAAAATAGTTTTGGGTAGTTAAGGTTTTCAAAATGGGTAGAGGAAAGGTTATTAGTGAGAAAATTCGGTTACTGATCATGAATTTTTTAATTCTGGGAAATCAAACTCAGAAATTGTAACTTTGTTAGACTAGATATAACGTAACTGGTTCAGTTAATACTAAGCCACTATATGTGAAAAAAAGTAATATCACAAATGCCGACCGAAGAGCACTAAGAAGAATAATCGTAAAAAACAGGCGTGCCAATTATTTACAATTAAGTTCTATGTGGAGTGACGCTGTTGGAAGGAGAATTTCGAGGTCCACAACTCATAGAGAGGCCCACAAACTGGGATTTAGCACTTGCAAGGTAAGGTTTCTTATAAAAAAAGTGAAGTAAAAACCCTAAAGTTGCATAACTTTTTTATAGGCCAAAGAAAAGCCACTATTAACTCTACTGCAAAAGAAAAATCGGCTTAGATGGGCTAAAGAACATAGACAATGGACACCTCAACAATGGTGTGCAATACAATGGAGTGATGAGGCCCGATTCGAAGTTTGTGTTGGTATGTCATCAAAAGGAGTAGGAAAATTTCATTTTATTGATGGAAATCTGGATACAAACAAATATTTGGCAATTTTAGAAGAATCGCTTTTACCAGTGATGGAAGAATGTTTGACATCCGGCCAAGATTTTGTCTTTCAGCA